TCTACTCAGATAAGTATGGGAAAATTCCTTTATCACTTTAGACTAAATAGAGTGAATACATCTTGTAGCGCCGGCCAAACCCAAAACCCAGTGAACATTCTAGATATAAGTAGTTTTTGAGTAATACCAGCCGTTTTCTGGCTCTACAATCATATTCGAGCCTAAAGGGGCCCTTGCGCTTTTGCAAATAGCGCCCTACCCGAATGAGGTTAGTCCGACCGTTGCAACTGAAATGAACAAGGCTGGGGTGGGTAGAAAGGCCGGACTCCGGGACCGAGTGATGCTGAGGTGTCAGAGGGCGGCATCATTTTGTTAGACGAGAAAAACTCGAAAAGAAGCGAGAATTCGCCGCCAATCGGCAAAAAGGTCTATTGGTCCGAAGCGATATGTTCGTGGGTTGTCGAAGCGGTGGGCCCACCCTCACTAGCGTAGTCAGTCGAAGAAACTGAAAGAACATTATCATCTGAGGACTACGTTGCAGGTCGTGGAAACCGACGAGGAAAGGCTGTGGAGAGACGTTGAGGCAGGCGGTCAACTGGCAAGACGGGAAGTCCAGCGTCTGCGCTGCACACAGGCCTTATTGTGATTGGCTACTTAGACTATTGCCTGTTGAGTAGCGGCCACATCTTGCACTCCATTGGTTGGCTGGCGGAAAGACATCACGTCAGCTCCGCGGCCATCCAACGCATGCCAGGGGCTGATTGGTGGAGGAGGCGCAGCTCGGTCCAGTCAGGAGGGAACGCGATAGACGTTGGGCCGAGTTAACAGGTGCCAGTTTGCCTGGCGCGCAGGCTCTATTGGTGCACATTTGCAGCTGGTGTGGCCGAGTCTGATTGGCTGGAGTGGCAATTCTGTGCCTGAATCCGACCGGGCTTCGCACGCACCATTGCCCCGAGGTCTCGCGAGCACCGCCGATCGGGGTCGACGTTGGGGGTCGACGACGCAAGTCGTTTAAGGTCGTATTTCGAGGTTGTCGGCTGAGAGGCCAATTCAGCCAAGCTGGCTGAAGGTGATGGTGGATGAGATGTATTAACCATACTTCATCAAGGTGATGAAGGATGTGGGTAGTGGAATTTTCCCATAATGCTATGAGTGGAGCTGACGAAAAATAAGTAGTGTAGTCGATACCAAATATAACTTTGATTAATTGACAATCCCAACAAATAATGCGATATGGGAAAATGCCTGTCCTTCTTTCTAATTCACATCAGCTCTGCCCCTTATATATACTCAAGAGTTAAAAACGAAACTCTATACGAATAGATAGATAGACAATGTTTCGGATAATTATCTTTCATGCCTTGCATACATTTTCGTTTTTTTAGATATCAGTATTTATGAGAGGTGAAATAGATTAGATTATGAAGAGCTGATAGTTGAAGTTTCCCACAATCATATGAATAGACCTTTCGTTTCCATTGAATTGCACATAGCAT